AGCAGCTGCCTCATGCCATGGTGATGGCGGCGACCAACGGAATCCTCTTGCGGAGAGAGTATCTGACCTTTCAAACGAACTCAGCACATCCTGAAACTATCTCTTAGCTTCCGATTTTCTTTAAGGACCCAAATGGGAACATCATCAGGTGATTGTCCATGCAACACACGCCCAAACTTAGATACCCTACAGGATTTCTGTAGCTGCTTCGTATATATCTATCCCCAGTTATGGCAAAAGATTAAAGTATGAAAGTACCTTTTTTTGATCCTAAACTCACCATCGCCTTTTTAATGAATAAATCCACCCGTTCCAGTCACTTTACCCCTGTCTGAGGGATCCCAGTTACTGCTGAAGCAGCTGTTGATCCGTCGCCCCATTCGCTGTCGCCCCATTAGCAGCGGCCGCGGATTGCTGGGCTTGCACCATCATCATGTACTGCAGGTATTGCCTCAATGGCAAATCATGATGATTCTTGTTATATATATATATACATACATATAATATCTATGGTCTATAGTATTGATAATAACATCATGATTATCATGATGATATTGATAAAAACATCATGTGTCCAATGATGATAATAATGATGATAATAGTAGAAATCACCGTAACAAGTATATAGTAAGAATGATCATATAGAATATTAGCCTCTGGTACTTCAACATTGATATTGTTTTTCCGGATTTCTTTGACACTTTATAGATGACTTTCCTATCAGAAATCCTGATTTCCTGCCAGGTTTGTTGACCTCACAAGCTGAGGGAAAGCTTGCAACCATGGCGCTGCTGCTGTTGCTGCTGAATCAAGGCTGGATTCATTGTTGGCAAACCTGCAGTGAGTCAAGGGTAAAAAAAAGTTGTGTACTGCCAGCATGACCCTGGCCCCAGGGCCTATCAAAAAACAAATGTATCCTACATTTTGAAAGGCACTAGGTCCGCTAGTGCCGCTAGTGGGTTGAAGCACCAGAATCGAGGACCTAAAAGTATGTCCTTTGTATTTACCCAACCGCACAGTCTACCTGTACTGCTTGTTGTGACTGCATGTTGCTTGTGGGTTGGAACTCGTCCTGTGACTCTTTTGTATCCCCAGCTGGCCCTGAGCAGAATCAGTCCCTTTCGCGGCAGCTCACCCAGAATTAAAAAAAGGGTCACATCACTCTACAAATGAACACAGCCCGTGGAAAGGATTCATGATCCATACCCCAGCGGTACTCCAGGCTGGAATTCCGCATTTCGCAAAAGGTAAATCGATGGGAAATCGCATACTAATCCATCAATCAATCCGTCTGCAGCGCTTTGTTTTCTGTATTTTGATGATCGAATTTATCTGTCAAGTTGATTTCCCCTTTCAAAAAGTGGAAAATTCAACAGAGGTCAGGATTGCTCCCAGCACCCAAAACCTAGGAGAATACATGGACTATCCTTTGCCTATAATTCGTTGGAGCACCCGAGGTTTTTCCAAATTTGCACCAGTCACCTGCTGCGCCTGCGCCAGGCACTGTGGATGCCGGCGGAAAAAGGGCTGGCGCTGGAGGAAAGGCCATCGCCTGCTGTTTTGAGAGGGAAAAAGATGGGTGGCATAAACCATCCCCAAATCGATAATCACCATTTTAGGTACCTGTTTTTGGTGATTAAGATCGATGAATCACCAGTTTATGGGCGGTATATGATGGTATAAAAAGTGATGATTGATGACTAATGTGGTAAACCCAATAATAATGTGGTAAACCCAACAATGAACCTATGAGTCGTGCTCTTTAGCAATGATTAATGTGGTTTTTCCCAAGGGCCATAAACATCAACCATCCCCAAGTCACCATTTTTATGGGTGGTATAAACCATCCCCTAATGGGCATTAAGCACCAAATTCCAGGGGCACACCCTGCCTCTGCGAGGCCCACCAAGCCAAATTGGCGCTGCAAGGCAAGGGACAGGCAAAACGTTTGGGCAAAACTGGAGCGGCCGTAAAGCATGTGGTGCAGCAAGAAGCTGAAAAAAAACTCAGAGATGATGAAAATGATGATGAAAATGATGAATCTGAAAGATGATGAAAAATGATGAAAACTGAATCATCTGGGTTTGTCAAAATAAATGGCGGATTTACCCCAGAAATATACAAACCGTTCTATATAAACGGGAAAAAAGATGGAAATAAGCGACTGCTTTTGGGGATTTTTGAGGTAAGTTTTGGACAAAGCCAGATGAAAACACACGCCAAAATATTGCCAGAGTGGATGTTGGACCCAAATGAATCCAATTGGAAAACACGTTGACAAGGACTAGAACCTGCGGTTGATTGCTCTGTGCGCAGGAGACATTTGATGGACGCTTGCAGAAGTCAAGCAAGCTGAAATGTTTTGACCCTTGACTCGAGATGTCTGTGCTTAGAATGCTTGAAACCAGAGGCTCCCCGTTCTTAGAGGTTCCCTCTGAAGCGTTGACGATCGAGTTGCTTCGCTGCAACTGAAACATAAGAAGTCTACGAAGCTGATGGATTATCTTACTCAGGTCTCCAGATCTTCTAGCCTTGATCTGCACAGGGCGTGCTCAAAGCTTGGCTGCTTGAGCCTGAGGTGCAGCCTCAGCGAACATCTTGGCCATCTCTGCAAGCTTGGTGGACTGCTTCACTCCCAAGTCCAACATGATCTCCTCAGAGCCTCCTGGGATGGCCATGGCGCGAACCTCACGGTTCAGACGCTCCACCTTCTCACCCTGACCACCGCGGGAATAGGACAATCCACCGAAGATCTGAGCTGCTTCGCGGGCACAGTATTCCATGACTTTGGTGCACTGCACCTTGCAAAGAGCTGTGTGGCCTCCCAGCTTCAGCATGGCCTCTATCTTGGGCATGGTCTTCAGCTGGTAGGTGATCCACTCCAACCAGTTGTGAGTTGCCTCAATCTGGCGGGCCATTTCTGCAACCTTCCAGCGAATCACTGGGTGCTGGATCAGAGTCTTGCCAAAGGTCTTGCGCTTGCCAGCAAACTTCAGGGAGTCCTCCAGGCAAACTCGGGCAAAGCGAGTGCTCATGGCACAGAAGGCAAATCGCTCATGGTTGAAATTCTGCATCATGTACTGGAAGCCTTTGCCCTCCTTGCCAAGCAAGTTGCCCTTTGGAACCTTGACATCATCAAAAGTGATGTATGTTGTGCCAGATGACCAGGCACCAGAGCACTTCATCTTTCTGGTCTCAAGGCCAGGCATGCCCTTCTCAACCAGCAGCAAGCTGATACCACCCACTCCTGGCTTGCCAGTGCGGCATGCCACAGTGAAGTAGTCTGCAAAAATGCCGTTGGTGATCCACTTCTTCTCTCCGTTCAGGATGTAGTGGTCACCCTCCAGCTTGGCGGTGCACTTCAAGTTTGCCACATCACTGCCTGCTGTGGGCTCTGTGATTGCCAGGCAGCAAACCTTCTCTCCCTTGACACATGGTGGCATGACACGCTGCTTCAGCTCCTCGCTTCCATGGTGGTACACAGGAGGCAGTCCGATGGTGGTGCCTCCAGCAATGCCCCACTGAAAGCCCACAGAGCCAGTACGAGACATCTCGTCGTACATGATGAGCTCATGGAAGTAGTCCGGCTCAAATCCCCAAGGAGATGGACCAAAGTACTTCTCAGGCCACGGCCTGCCAATGCACAATGCAAGAGTACCCTGCTTTCCAGCCTCTAGGTACATCTCCTTTGGGATAGTGCCCTTCTCATCCCAGTCATGCACATTGCTCATGATGTGCTCATCCACGTACTCACGCATCAGCTTTCGGAACTGCTTGTGGGTGTCATTGTAGTAGGGCGTGTTGTAGGCCTGATACCAGGACGGGTCCCCGAAGGGGTGGCCCTCCCCATACACCTCCGTGTTCATACCCTTCAGCATCGCTGGGCTCACCATGGTCAGGAACTAGAAACGATTTAGTGCACTCACTGTTTAAGCTGGAACTCTTGAGCAATCTACAAACAGATAGGTCTGCATATGTGGCAATTTGCAACTATCAGCCACACCAATTTTTGATCCATAGCCAGTATGCTTTTGGATTGTCTTGTGTCGCTTATATGCTCATACACTCAGAAATCTCAATGATACTACCCAAGGAACAACGGAGATTTTTGGGGTAATATTGTAATATATATATATATTGTAGTATGCCAATTTGCTATCCAAACATACCCAAATCTCATTCGCAAAGGGTTGCAAACGTATCATCTCAAGCTCTGCAGGTTGAGGGCCAAACTTCCACAGACCTGGGCCTGGCGGAGTTCTCGCCATGCCATGCTCTGTCGATGTTCTGGATTCTAGCCATTTTCTATTCATGTTCTGTGCATTTCTATCTATTTGGAGGGAAAGACACAATGGATTTTAAATATCCTCCAGTTAACAGTAAATTATAGAACCCTGAAATGGAGGTACAACTTTTCAGGCCATATTTTGTGGCGATATTTCCTGACATTTCGCCAAATTTAGCCCTTGCCTCCATGACTTCGGAAGAGATCGCATGGCCGGAGCTGCTGACGATACGACCACACTTTGGACCCTAAAAGTTGCCTAAGTGAGGTTATCCCATATATAACTGGCTTAGAACTTATAACCCCAGTTATCAATTACTAATTTGGATGATCCTCCAAGATCCTCCAAGTAAAGGTTGTTGGCTTTCTTGAAACTGTTGCTGTTGGATATATGTTCAACACCATTGGTCGGAAATGGTTTTGAAGACCTCACGTCGACCTCACGTCAAGTTGCTTCCCCTCAAGTTCGGTCCCAACGCGGGAGGACCCTAGGCCATTCGTCAAGTTTTGTCGCAAGGCTAATTCGGGTTAGTTGACCCCAATTCGATTAGCTACCTCAGTTCTAGGCTATATGTGTTATAACAACGATCTATTTACTCTCCCAGCTAGTTCTTTGAAGCTGGCAATGCATGGTTGTCAGTTGTTGTGGCATTAAAACCTGCTGCAGTCCATGTCCAACTGGTTTGTTTCAAGCCATTGCCGATGTCTATCAAAGCTGATGACCCGGAGCATGGCGACGGATGGAGCCTGCAAGACCAAGAAACAAGGGAAACAGCTGAAGGAAACACGCCTTTCCCGCACCTTGCAGTGTGTGTTTGCATGCTGTTGATAATGAGACACGAAAGGGTTTTGAGAATTTTTTGGGAATGGCAAGCTGTTGAGAAAGAGGCCGCTAATACGCCTTAGTCGCAGTATTTTCGTTCACCGTCACAACTATCCCCCGTCTCTGTTTTTTGCTTCCATCGTGCACAGCACCTGGTCGCCACGTGAGCTTCACAAAGAGCTGATCTTTTCAAGAGGATTTCTCCGAGGACCCAGAGATGGCAGATCCAGTGGCATACTCGTAAACTTCGTAAACCTGAACGGCTGATACGTTGCTTTAGCCTTGGGCCTGGCACTGCATCCATGCTTGACCCCCCCAAAAAATGAGTATCGAATACAGTGCTATCATTCTTGGGAGACGGGAATAGAAAGCAAATGCTTCAAATCACCCACAAGATTGTTCCATCTCCACTGGAACAGGTGGATCCCGGCCCTCATGATCCATCTGTAACTTGCCAAGCCTCGGCCAATCTGCAGTGGCAAGTGGGCAGACAAAACAGACCCCTTAGAGGCAGCTTCACATGGGCCTCTCTTGCTCGCTTTTTCAATGAAAAGAAGCTCGAAACATCTTCCAGAGGCTCCCCGTTCTTAGAGGTTCCCTCTGAAGCGTTGACGATCGAGTTGCTTCGCTGCAACTGAAACATAAGAAGTCTACGAAGCTGATGGATTATCTTACTCAGGTCTCCAGATCTTCTAGCCTTGATCTGCACAGGGCGTGCTCAAAGCTTGGCTGCTTGAGCCTGAGGTGCAGCCTCAGCGAACATCTTGGCCATCTCTGCAAGCTTGGTGGACTGCTTCACTCCCAAGTCCAACATGATCTCCTCAGAGCCTCCTGGGATGGCCATGGCGCGAACCTCACGGTTCAGACGCTCCACCTTCTCACCCTGACCACCGCGGGAATAGGACAATCCACCGAAGATCTGAGCTGCTTCGCGGGCACAGTATTCCATGACTTTGGTGCACTGCACCTTGCAAAGAGCTGTGTGGCCTCCCAGCTTCAGCATGGCCTCTATCTTGGGCATGGTCTTCAGCTGGTAGGTGATCCACTCCAACCAGTTGTGAGTTGCCTCAATCTGGCGGGCCATTTCTGCAACCTTCCAGCGAATCACTGGGTGCTGGATCAGAGTCTTGCCAAAGGTCTTGCGCTTGCCAGCAAACTTCAGGGAGTCCTCCAGGCAAACTCGGGCAAAGCGAGTGCTCATGGCACAGAAGGCAAATCGCTCATGGTTGAAATTCTGCATCATGTACTGGAAGCCTTTGCCCTCTTTGCCAAGCAAGTTGCCCTTTGGAACCTTGACATCATCAAAGGTGATGTATGTTGTGCCAGATGACCAGGCACCAGAGCACTTCATCTTTCTGGTCTCAAGGCCAGGCATGCCCTTCTCAACCAGCAGCAAGCTGATACCACCCACTCCTGGCTTGCCAGTGCGGCATGCCACAGTGAAGTAGTCTGCAAAAATGCCGTTGGTGATCCACTTCTTCTCTCCGTTCAGGATGTAGTGGTCACCCTCCAGCTTGGCGGTGCACTTCAAGTTTGCCACATCACTGCCTGCTGTGGGCTCTGTGATTGCCAGGCAGCAAACCTTCTCTCCCTTGACACATGGTGGCATGACACGCTGCTTCAGCTCCTCGCTTCCATGGTGGTACACAGGAGGCAGTCCGATGGTGGTGCCTCCAGCAACGCCCCACTGAAAGCCCACAGAGCCAGTACGAGACATCTCGTCGTACATGATGAGCTCATGGAAGTAGTCTGGCTCAAATCCCCAAGGAGATGGACCAAAGTACTTCTCAGGCCACGGCCTGCCAATGCACAATGCAAGAGTACCCTGCTTTCCAGCCTCCAGGTACATCTCCTTTGGGATAGTGCCCTTCTCATCCCAGTCATGCACATTGCTCATGATGTGCTCATCCACGTACTCACGCATCAGCTTTCGGAACTGCTTGTGGGTGTCATTGTAGTAGGGCGTGTTGTAGGCCTGATACCAGGATGGGTCCCCGAAGGGGTGGCCCTCCCCATACACCTCCGTGTTCATACCCTTCAGCATCGCTGGGCTCACCATGGTCAGAAACTAGAAACGATTTAGTGCACTCACTGTTGAAGCTGGAACTCTTGAGCACTTTGCTGTCAAACATTCTTTCACATGTCACATGACATTCTCAACACCAGTTATGATTCTTCAAGTTTGTCAAGTTCGAGCAAAAGAAGCTCGCCAACTTTTACCATTTGTGGTGAGATTAGGGATTGTTTATTACATTTATTTCGGGTTACATTCCGTACATAATTGAGATTCCTAACCTTCCTTGCAGGGAGTCAAATTGCAACATGTTTTTCATACCTTGCTGAGGATTGAGCTTCCAGCCTTGCTGAGCCTTGCAACGCAGAAACTGCGGGAATTGGGTTCCGTCCCCAGGTCATCGTGATGACGATGATGACCATTTCAATGGTGTTAAATTCCATTAAATATCATTAAATCACCATTAAATCACCATTTAATCACCATTTAATCACCATTTAATCACCATTTAATCACCAGTAATCATGAAGATTCTGGGCAATGGTACTATGCGATTTCAAAGATTAGGCTGATTTGAATCCGTCCCTGTGCTCAGGTAACCCAGTCGTCCTGCCTCCTTTCTTCGAGAAGCCAATCTCATTGGATGTTTGATGGTGGTTAGAATGTCAAACTCAAAAGTTGACTCTGACTCTGTAAGCTCACATTTTAAGATTCGAACTGTTCAAATTTAAACGACATAGAATTTGAGCGTTTTGGCCAAAGTGGGCGGATATCATGATTGCCACAATCATGTTCGTTTGGAAAACAAATTGGAGGTGTGTAGGTTTGAAGTGTCGGGTGTCAGGTCCTTTCAAAGAGCTGCGAATCACACTTCGGCCTCTGGTCAAGCTCACTTCAGCGCCAAGAGCGTGAGTCATTGGTCTCAATCAGCGCAGTTCCAAATTGGAAAACAAAATAGCTGCAACATGTATACCACAACAAAACTTCACATCCGCAGCATAAATAGACTGGTGGTGCATGTGCAAATCTTCAACAGCAAATTCTGCGTTGGTAGAGTGATTTGGGCAATGTCTCATCCTTTGACCCAACTCGGCACTTGACCAAGCACTTCCAGGTACATGGTGCAATCAAGAAATCAGCATGCAGAGTGGCCAAAAGGCATGAGATGGTAGTGCATGTGCAAATCTTCAACAGCAAATTCTGCGTTGGTAGAGTGATTTGGGCAACGTCTCATCCTTTGACCCAACTCGGCACTTGACCAAGCACTTCCAGGTACATGATGCAATCAAGAAATCAGCATGCAGAGTGGCCAAAGGGCATCAGATGGTAGTGCATGTGCAAATCTTCAACAGCAAATTCTGCGTTGGTAGAGTGATTTGGGCAATGTCTCATCCTTTGACCCAACTCGGCACTTGACCAAGCACTTCCAGGTACATGATGCAATCAAGAAATCAGCATGCAGAGTGGCCAAAAGGCATCAGATGGTAGTGCATGTGCAAATCTTCAACAGCAAATTCTGCGTTGGTAGAGTGATTTGGGCAATGTCTCATCCTTTGACCCAACTCGGCACTTGACCAAGCACTTCCAGGTACATGATGCAATCAAGAAATCAGCATGCAGAGTGGCCAAAAGGCATGAGATGGTAGTGCATGTGCAAATCTTCAACAGCAAATTCTGCGTTGGTAGAGTGATTTGGGCAATGTCTCATCCTTTGACCCAACTCGGCACTTGACCAAGCACTTCCAGGTACATGATGCAATCAAGAAATCAGCATGCAGAGTGGCCAAAGGGCATCAGATGGTAGTGCATGTGCAAATCTTCAACAGCAAATTCTGCGTTGGTAGAGTGATTTGGGCAATGTCTCATCCTTTGACCCAACTCGGCACTTGACCAAGCACTTCCAGGTACATGATGCAATCAAGAAATCAGCATGCAGAGTGGCCAAAGGGGATCAGATGGTAGTGCATGTGCAAATCTTCAACAGCAAATTCTGCGTTGGTAGAGTGATTTGGGCATGTCTCATCCCTGTGCTATCAAGAAACCAAATATTATTGCAATGAAAGTTGTCAACCATATTACTGGCCAGCCAGTGCAGCCAAACATAATCCCAAGTGTCGACAGAGTCACAAGAAAACCAGAGATGTGGAGACAAACAACAAAAACCACAGGAGCAATGCCTTCCTTGCTCGCTTTTTCAACGATGAAAATGAGCTCGAAACATCTTCCAGAGGCTCCCCGTTCTTAGAGGTTCCCTCTGAAGCGTTGACGATCGAGTTGCTTCGCTGCAACTGAAACATAAGAAGTCTACGAAGCTGATGGATTATCTTATTCAGGTCTCCAGATCTTCAAGCCTTGATCTGCACAGGGCGTGCTCAAAGCTTGGCTGCCTGAGCCTGAGGTGCAGCCTCAGCGAACATCTTGGCCATCTCTGCAAGCTTGGTGGACTGCTTCACTCCCAAGTCCAACATGATCTCCTCAGAGCCTCCTGGGATGGCCATGGCGCGAACCTCACGGTTCAGACGCTCCACCTTCTCACCCTGACCACCGCGGGAATAGGACAATCCACCGAAGATCTGAGCTGCTTCGCGGGCACAGTATTCCATGACTTTGGTGCACTGCACCTTGCAAAGAGCTGTGTGGCCTCCCAGCTTCAGCATGGCCTCTATCTTGGGCATGGTCTTCAGCTGGTAGGTGATCCACTCCAACCAGTTGTGAGTTGCCTCAATCTGGCGGGCCATTTCTGCAACCTTCCAGCGAATCACTGGGTGCTGGATCAGAGTCTTGCCAAAGGTCTTGCGCTTGCCAGCAAACTTCAGGGAGTCCTCCAGGCAAACTCGGGCAAAGCGAGTGCTCATGGCACAGAAGGCAAATCGCTCATGGTTGAAATTCTGCATCATGTACTGGAAGCCTTTGCCCTCTTTGCCAAGCAAGTTGCCCTTTGGAACCTTGACATCATCAAAGGTGATGTATGTTGTGCCAGATGACCAGGCACCAGAGCACTTCATCTTTCTGGTCTCAAGGCCAGGCATGCCCTTCTCAACCAGCAGCAAGCTGATACCACCCACTCCTGGCTTGCCAGTGCGGCATGCCACAGTGAAGTAGTCTGCAAAAATGCCGTTGGTGATCCACTTCTTCTCTCCGTTCAGGATGTAGTGGTCACCCTCCAGCTTGGCGGTGCACTTCAAGTTTGCCACATCACTGCCTGCTGTGGGCTCTGTGATTGCCAGGCAGCAAACCTTCTCTCCCTTGACACATGGTGGCATGACACGCTGCTTCAGCTCCTCGCTTCCATGGTGGTACACAGGAGGCAGTCCGATGGTGGTGCCTCCAGCAACGCCCCACTGAAAGCCCACAGAGCCAGTACGAGACATCTCGTCGTACATGATGAGCTCATGGAAGTAGTCTGGCTCAAATCCCCAAGGAGATGGACCAAAGTACTTCTCAGGCCACGGCCTGCCAATGCACAATGCAAGAGTACCCTGCTTTCCAGCCTCCAGGTACATCTCCTTTGGGATAGTGCCCTTCTCATCCCAGTCATGCACATTGCTCATGATGTGCTCATCCACGTACTCACGCATCAGCTTTCGGAACTGCTTGTGGGTGTCATTGTAGTAGGGCGTGTTGTAGGCCTGATACCAGGACGGGTCCCCGAAGGGGTGGCCCTCCCCATACACCTCCGTGTTCATACCCTTCAGCATCGCTGGGCTCACCATGGTCAGGAACTAGAAACGATTTAGTGCACTCACTGTTTAAGCTGGAACTCTTGAGCAGCAATTCTGAAATGTCAGGTGTAGAAAATGCTGTTCGTTTTTGTCAATCAAGTTCTGCTGACTATCAGAGGCAAAGACTGGGCGGGAAAAGTGGAAGAGTCTCCAACCTTGACTTAGTCGATTTAGTCGGCTGTTTTGGTACCAGAGTTCGTCTTGGAAACACTCTACATCTCAGTGTTCACCTTTTTCCTCGATCTCCGAAACGGTAAGAGTTCCTTTACAACGGGCATACACTCCCGCCTACGTATAAAAGCATGTAAAAGCAATGCTAAGCACCGCACAATGCTGGACACTGTACTGGGCTGAATTTGCCTTGTGTGACGTCAGTCGTCATAAACCTGTGAAACAAACTGAGCACCTCTGGCACTTCACTGGAACACGGCTGACCATGTGCGACTGCAGGGAAGAATGGTCCTTCAAATGATCATCAACGCGGAAGGATCACTCAACTGAGTCTTGGCCGTCTTGGCCCAAAAACGGAGGGCTACCTATGAACCCAGAAAATTGGTCACGTTCAGCACTAAACCATTCATTCTTACGTGCAATTTAGTCTGCAGAAGATCCATGCCCTCCAAGCAATCCGACTGGGCCTTCGGATGGCTTCAAGCATGCGATTCATCCCTTCGCCGCGTGCAGCAGCCAAAGTAGTCAAAGATGTCAGTGATGAAGGGATAACTGAGCAGGGAAAGGCACAAATGGGCAGCAATAAGCTCTACAGAACTGACAGTACAACATGGCCAGAATTTCAAAAGAAAACTCAAGATGACACTATGACTATACTCCGTTGATCATCTATCGATTTGGTGGTCACAGCATCGAAAATGTTGGTACTGGCACCCCGTCTTTTTGGTTGCATCTTCCAATTGCACGTTGGCCCCATGTCAGTACACTGCCCCAAGGTGCTCTTTGTAGCCGCTCTCCCTTTCTCGCGAGTTCCTGGCCCAGCCACGGACTTTTCATCCCAAAACATGCCACTGTAATATCCGCCGACCCCTGCCGTCAGCAGGGGGGCCGCGTCAGAGGAGGCCTTACTAGCAACAAGATGCCAGAAGGGGCGAAGAGTTTGTGCAGAACGAAAGCCGGCTCCAGGAGGACACGAGCAGGGTGGCAGTTGGCAGTGTAGAAACGCAGGAAAAGTCAAGGTTTGGAGCTAGTTTCTAGTCGGTTCAGAAAGTGACGTTTGGCAGTCTGGGATACGGGCCGCGGGCCCAATCCGTCCTTCACTGCCATGGTGTTTTAGCCCTGCGACACGGTCCTTGGACTCCAGCTTGGACCGAAGCGGTGCAGAACGAAAGCCGGCTCCAGGAGGACACGAGCAGGGTGGCAGTTGGC